GGTTAAATAGGGGTGTAAAGAAGAGAGTAGCAAACAGTGTAGTCCCGTCCTAGAGGTGCAAGTGGTTTTTCTATCCATGGTTATAGTATTGACAACATTTTAACAGGCAGGAGACTAACACTAGGATATACTCTCTCCTTCTGGTACCACTTCAATAGAGCATATTTTTTTAAAAAAGAATTATTTAATTTTATTTATTCATTCATTTATTTTAATTTGACCAGAGAGAGAGAGACACGGAGAGAAGGGGAAAATGAGAAAGTAAGCCACCAGGTCTGGAACTCAAACTATGATTGCCCATGTGGGAGTGTCCAGCGCCTTATCCACCATGCCACCTGCTGGTCCCTATCATTATTATTTTTTAATTTGATTGGGGTGGAGGGAGAGAGAGATATAGCGAGCCACCAGGTCTGGGACTCAATCTAGTTGACCATGTGGGACTCCAGTGCCTTAACCACCATGCCACCTGGCGGTCCTCAACAGAACATGTTATATCACACCACAGTTGATTAATTATGTATTTGGCCTCCTATAGGTTGTGAGCTCTTTGAGATTAGGGATCTCCTCTTGTTTATCTCGTATTCTTGCTGTGTCTAGCACAATGCCTTGCATGTATTACTGTCTTATAAATCCTGGAAAAAAAGCAAGTGAATTATAGAAAATAATGAACCCAAGTTGAGTTGTAAAGCAATGGACTAGAAATATCCTCAATAATCAGCTGTCAGGCAAGAAACAAGCAGCCCTCCACGAGAAAGTAGCATATATCTTGGCAAGGCCACATAATCGTTATTCCAGAAAATACTTCAGTGGTTTGAACACTAAGAGCTGTTCTAAAGATTTGCCAGTCACGAGAACTGATTTTTAATGATTGGCAGACTCTAAACCCAATCCCAAGTGTTTTAGAGGCTCAATGTGGCTTTAAATCAATCATTTGTTATTCTGAGACATGCTGGCAGTGCAGAATCACGCCCTTAGGTTTGAGGAAGGTTTGAAGAGAAATAGCTTTTGTCTCAACAAAACCCATGCCATCTGTATGATTGCCTTTAGCATACACAGACTTATGTATATCATCAAAGAGCAGCTATAATTACAAGTCAAAGGAGAGCCTGTGTACCTCTGATTTGTGGCAGGGGCTACTGGTCACTCATCAGTCTCTTTAGCTGAACTGGAATGAGCAGAGGGTGACACCACTGATTCATCCTCTTTGGATACAGATTGCATTTAAATTAGTCTTTGGTAGCAAAGGTGGCGTGGTGGCACAGAATGTGTCCTTATGTCAGAATAGAAGACCTGGGATCAGAGGTCTTCTAGATCAGCTTTGTGAGTAACCTGTGAGGAGACATTTTTCATTGACAACAGAAGGCATAAACTTGCCTTCCTCCTTGTGTTTTTGCAACGTTTAAATAAGACTGCCGATCAATATTTGTGCATATACTATTTGCCAGACACTGTATTTGATGAGTAAAATAGACTCTGACTTCTTCCTCATGAGGCTTTCTGTCTAATGGGGAAGACAGATGTTAAACAAATTATATTAAATAAATAAACAATTCAAGTGTAACAGGTACCATGAAGGAGAATGACAGGATATGTTGCAAAAGAGACTGGCATGACAGATGGGGGACCTGTCCTAATCCAAAGGTTCCAGGTCTGCCCTGAGGAAGTGACATTAAGTCTATGGGATGAATGGACCTATCACTTGTAAAATGTGTACAGTTAGAAAGAAAGATGATTATTGTTACTGGTGTTACTTCTCAAAACCTTGTGATTTGTTCTACTGTGTTATAGCAGATGCTTTGGGCCAAGCACTATGAGATTAAGTGACTTGCCCAAAGTTACTGAGTTTAAAAGATGTGGAAGGAAATTACGGTTTGTCTGGTGTGGCATTCTTCTTCTTTTCATGTACAAAGATAATACCTTAGTACATTCATTTGAATTTTGAACTGAAAAAGGCGGTGAGGTTGGCTTTTTCTCTCTCTTCAGTTGCTGACTGAAATGCCAATAGTCACAGGAGACAGATTGCCCTCTATTAAGACTTTTGTAATACAGCATTGTGGGACCACAGGCAGTGCCTGATTGAGTTGGCCCTGGGACATAGTGGCTGTAAGATGCTGGTCAAGTTAATCTCTCTGTGCCTCAGTTTCCTCATCTGAGAAATGAGTATTGTAATTGTACCCAATTCATAAGGTTATTGTGAAAATCGAGGTACTGCAAATAAAGTGCCTAGAATAGAGTATGGAATATAGTAAACACTCAATAAGTTTTGTTTATTTGTAGGAATACAGAGGAAACACTTAAATAACAACAACAACAAAAAAAAAAACTTTTTTTCTCCCTGGCTGGAAACATCCAACAAATAGTGACAATAATAATTTTTTAAAAAACTACAAGTCCTTTTCTTAGGGCAGAAAATAATCATAAAATTACTTGGGTGAAGGGTTCTCATTTCTAAGCTAAAGCAAGGCAATGCTTTCTGTTTTTGCTTCTCCAACCTAATCTGTCTCTTACGCCTTTGCAGCTACAGATCTGGGACACAGCAGGTCAAGAGAGATTCCGGTCCATTACCCAGAGTTATTACCGAAGCGCCAATGCTTTGATCCTCACCTATGACATTACCTGTGAGGAATCTTTCCGTTGCCTTCCTGAGTGGCTGCGGGAGATAGAACAATATGCCAGCAATAAAGTCATCACTGTGTTAGTGGGTAAGTAAAGACTAATGAGGAACGAAATTGATTTGTGGACATCTGAGAATTTATACTGCATCAAGCTTGTGCCTTGGTACCTTCCAAGAATATGGTCTATAGCTATATAATTCATCCAGTCAACATTCAGTTCTTCTGCAACTGAAGAGAAAATGAAATAGGTCCTATCCCTTGGTAATGGTTTAGAAAAATGAAGTAGAACACACGGCAGATTGATTTTCTATCAACGAACGCTCTGGGGAGGAAGTTGGATGGCCCTGGAAGTTATGTGGGCTGCTCAACGTTTAAAAATCTAATTACAAGATGGTGGAAAATTCTGGTCTAGAAATAAAGTATATCTTTTAGGTTGAGAAGGAAGTCATTAAAGGAATTGGTTATTGCCAAAAAAAAAAAAAAAAATGGACCTTGGTTAATTTTTTACTTTTTTACATGTATGCCAAGTTGGGAAATTCTGTTTCAGAAAGAATCCACTAAGCGAAATGCTGTAATTTGTTTCACATTGTAAAAGGATAGAACCTCTATTTAATATGGGTATAAAGCAAAAAACAACCCTTGCTTTTTTTTTCTGTGGTAACAAATATACCCATTAAAAAAGGATTTGTAGTGAAATGGGTCAGATCATTAAAAACTCTGGTTATGGTGGGAAAGTCAATAAACTATATGGTCATTAAAATGTTTTCTTCTGAGGAAGCAATATTGCTGTATAGTCTAGCAAAGCCTGAATTTTGGAAATTCTAGTAGTGAAGCATAGCTGACTTATAGTTAGTAGTAAGCTAAGCAAACATCCTATTTATTTATTTAATTTGTCAGAAGGCATGCGTGCTTGCCAGAGAGAAGCAGAGAGAGGAAAATCGAGAAAGCACCGTCCATGGGGAATAGTCACACTATAATCCCTTCTCCATTTCTCCCTCCTTTTGGGATTTTGGGCACACATACGTGCCTGGTATGTTTCTCAAGCCTCCAGGTCCCGGTTTAAACTGCATGGTTGGCTATGTGGAATCCAGCTGCCTTTACCACCAGGCCACAGGATGACTCAAAATAAACACATTATAATGAGCCTTATAACTGGTATAAATGTGCTAGGAATCATACCAGGAACTTCGTGAATCATGGTCCCTTATTTACAGATGAGGAAACCAAGGCTCAGGGAGGTGAAGTTCTTTGCCCAAGGTTACACAATGTATAAGATTGACTCCAAGTCTCATAGTTGTCCAGCTGGAATATGCTGTTTTATAACAAATTGCCAGACTTTTCCTTCAGGCTGCTGGGTTAGTACCTACCTCTCTCTCAACTAACACTCAATGCCTAGTGCTTAAAAACCTTCCTACACAACAGTGGACCTTTGCCATGAAGCATTTGAGAGTACTAGCTTTGAACTTACGCTTTCTGTTTGGTCTGTTGGTTTGTTCTTCCACTAAAAAATAAGCAAATAACGAATCAGCAGATGGCAAATTGTTACATTGCTGGACTCCCTTGTAGTTGACTATGGTTCAAGTGTTCAAGTCCTGGACCCAGCAGCTTAAAACTCACGCTGGGCACATATATTTGTGTGCCACAGATTCCGAGTGGAGAATGGAGAAGCAGTTGCGGTGTGGCTGTCCCCCCTAGGGTGGGGGTGGGGTGATTTCTCACTGCCTCTCTATCTCTTCAGTGAGAACACATGACCTATAGCAAAAATCTCTCTTACAAAAAAAAAAAAAAAAAAGGCAAATAAAATGTGTAAGAGCCAGCAGGTGGCATGGGGGTTAAGGAAGCTGCATTCCCACATGGCCTCCTGTGGTTCAAGTCCCAGACCTGGGGGCTTGCTTTCTATATCTCTGTGTGTCTTTCTAGTGTTCACACATGCCCTGTAGCAAAAATAATAAATAAGTAATTCTTTTTTAAAACAAAGCGTGTGTAATATATTTCCATCTAAGAAAGATGGACAGCTGTATATTATATATACATTTTCTGTTTTACTCTTTTCTCTTAATAATCTATCATAGTATTCCTAATTCCATGGCAGTGAGTATAGAAATATTCCTCATTACTTTTTATAGTGGTGAAGACTTCATTGTATGGATGTACCATGGTTTATTCAGCTAGTACCTGACTGATGGACATTTCGCTCTTTTCCAGTTCTTTGCCATTACAAAATGGTGCTGGCATTTTAAAATATTCAGTAATCATAGACACATTTGCTCTGCCTTACTCATCCATTAGTCCAGTTTGACTTATGATCTAGAATTGAGTTTTAATGTTTCTGAACCTGCAAAAAGCATAATAATGACTCCGTCTTTGATTTCACCACTGTTGCAGGCAATAAGATCGACCTGGCTGAAAGGAGAGAGGTCTCCCAGCAGAGAGCTGAAGAATTCTCAGAAGCTCAGGACATGTATTATCTGGAGACCTCCGCCAAGGAGTCTGATAACGTCGAGAAACTCTTCCTTGACTTAGCATGCCGGCTCATCAGTGAAGCCAGACAGAACACACTTGTGAACAATGTATCTTCACCCTTACCTGGAGAAGGGAAGAGCATCAGCTATTTGACTTGTTGTAATTTCAACTAAAGGCTGAGGCAAGAAGCAGCACACGGCATCAGTAGCTGCCCTGATGGGCTATGAGTTGTTGAGGTGATCGGCGATGACTATGGCTCCCGCTCTCAGACCTTCTGACTCCTGTGGGCTCCTGAGCTTACAAAGCATGGCAGGCCAAGGGCCTCGTCCACAGGCAGCATTAGCAGAAAATACAATGGTTTCACTTTCTTGCAGTCTGGAGTTGGAGCAAGGAGAAAATTGCACTAGATGCTCCATGATCTACAGAGCATGTTGCTTTTGTTTTTGTAAAAAGCAAGTAAAAGCGCATTCCTGAACACAGTCCAGGGGAAAATGTACTGTAGGGATCCCTCCTGCACGTCAGTGGGTGCATGTGGGGACTTTTCTTCAGGGCTTCAGTAGTAATCTTCTGGGGACCCTGGTTTCTTGTCTACCAGATAAACTAGAACTGGGAAGGCCAACTACTGTCTCTGTGGTGTGTATTGAGGACCCCAGGGAGATTCTGAAAAGTGTTATTTCTCTTGTCCACAGGTACTTTCAAGGACTTTGGAATATAAAAATGAAATGAAACCTTTGCCCATGACCAACAGTAACAATCATTGTTTGAATAATATAAACAAGCTCCATGACTCTCTGGTGCTAATGATTCCACACTCTCTCACAGACCAAACGTTTTAGTACATTGATGTCCTTAAGTGTATTATATAGGAATAAACACAAAAAAATTGGGGAAGTCCATGAATCAGCACTCTTTCTCAAAAGTCTCATTACTACCTTTTCTAGGGTGGATTTGTCGGAAAGTGGAATTCTTTCAGGTTCCCTTCTAATTCTCTACTATTTTCTTCTAGTCTCTCATCTTTCCTGCCCTTTAAGTAAATGAAAAGGTTTGGAAAAACAATAACAACAACAAATGGTTGATGATATTCTAATATTAGAGATTATCTCTAAGACATTATTAATATGAGAAAACAGACCAGATATGACCAAAATACTGTGGACGAGTGAATTGTAGTACAGGGCTCCATGCAGAGCAGGCCTTGGTAGGTCACACCTTCTACTTCCTGGTACTATCCATCTTGGGCAGACCAAGGCTTAGAATTTTGTAGATGTTTTTAGTATGATAAGTGAGAATAGCAACAGATGAAAAGCCTCACATACCATTTTTGTATCTTCAATGATAACGTTAGAAAAATTCTGCTTGTAGAAGCAGATTGGATGTCATTATCCTCTCCTTCTTGTAATAATGTAACTCTCAGACTCATAATCATACATTTTCCCCTGTTTCTCTTTTCCTCTATTTCCCGATCTTCCCCTTCTTTGCTCCTTATTCCTTTTTTTTTTCCTTTCCATCTTTATATGCATGTGTTACTGCAATCTCCAATTCAAATGGAGGTGTCTATGCCATTACTTAGCCAATTTTAAAACAGGACTCCAAATGGAAGATGTGTTACAAGATGTGTGTTCCTGTTTCTTCAGTGCCATAACTTCCAATTTGTTCACTGATACAAATGCAAATTGGGAAAATAATTAAGCCTGTAAGTTGTTAATGCTGTCAGAAGTGTCTGTAGACTGCTGCCTAGCATAAGCGAGGGATGAGTAATGGAATAAGATATGATATATAATCCCACTGTTGGCATAGATGACAACAGTCTTGTTCCTGATGTGTTGATGTTTGAAAATTATTTAATTAAAAAAAAATGAGGTACATAGAGACATGATATTGATAAAGCATTTCTAGTATTTCTCTAACAGGTCCCAGAGTGACTAATCTTTTGTACATGGGATTATACATATTGACTAAGGGACTGATACTTTTGGTTGATCTCACTGTGCTTTTCTGATCCTGTGGGAAAGAGAAGAGGATCCCAGAAGTTTTAATTATCTTTCTTTTAGAATCTGAAGAAAAATAATTTTAGGGGGCTGGCAGGTGGTATGGTGGTTAAGGGCACTGGATTCCCACATGGCTGACTATGGTTTGAGTCCCATACCTGGCGGCTTGCTTTCTTTCTCTCTCACTCTCTCGCTCTCCCTCTGTCCCTCTCTGGTCAAATTAAAATAAATTTAAAAAGTTAAATAATTATTTTTAAAAATTCTTATAAAATAAAAGAAAAATAATTTTAGAAAATAATCTATAATATTGTTACCTTTCCATCCCCATCTTTTCCATTACGCCAGCAACTAAAGGTATTTAGAAAAGTTAACTGAGGCAGGCAGAAGAACTTTTCTTTCAAACGCTGAGGAAATGTCCCTAAGTTTAGATTTATCACCTTTCATTTTGGGCAAAAATCCAATACCCCCCACCCATGATGACACAACTTTGTCTCCCACAAATGTTTTGAAGATAAAATTGTTTTGTGAATTTAGAGGAAAGGCATTGCTAAATTGGACTAATTCAGTTGCAAAATAACAGTGCCAAGGGCTACACTTGTATTACGAAATTCTTTTTTTTCAATTTTGCCAGAGGGCTCATGTGCTTGCTGAAGAGAGACAGAGATAGGGAGATAGAGGAAAAGTGAAAAAGCATGTCATGCAGAACTCGTTTCATTTCTCCCTCATTTTAGGGATTTTGGGTACATATGCACATGTACCCAACATTTTTGATGTTTGAAATTTTAAACATTACAATTTGAACCACACGATTTGCCATGTGGGATCCAGTCAGTTATCATCTTAGCCACCATGCCACAGGTTGACCTGTATGTTTTTTGTTTGTTTGTCTGTTTTGTTTTGTTTTTTAATCCTAGAAGTTGGCCTCTTCTATCAACCTTGAACCAGACTCAGATGGGATTAGAAGTTCTACTCTGGACTCATTCTGTGGCTTTCTGTAACCTTTTTCATGGCTTATCAGCAGGGACACAGGAAAATGTGGGGCTTTGTTTTCTTTGTTCTAGTTGTATGAATACCAGATTAGGCCTTACGGACACTTGTCCACAGATGTATCTCAAGTTTGAGAACAATCCCTGACAATATTGTAGGTGCAATAAGTATGAGTTGAACAAACAATTTAGTGCCAAGAGGGTTGTTTTTTTTTGTTTGTTTGTTAAATAGAACTTGAGACAGGATACTAATTAAATGAAGTCGTCACCCTAACCTAGACCAAGATCTAAACTTATCAATTTGCTTAATAGTGGTTACTGTCATAGCAATATTTGCTAAGATAAACCTTTAGAATTCTCATTTAACAGTGAATGAAAAGAAAAGTTGCTTTATCATAAGTTTGGCTTGGTCTGACTAATAAGACTACAGAAGTTCATGTCTTCCATTTTCAGTGTATTTTTTTTTTTAATAAAGTTAGTAAGTATATGACAAAATTTTTTCCAGTTTCTAATGAAAATGCAGCATATTTATGTCATGGATTCAGGCTTGGGAGACTCTATAAAAGTATATAGTGTGCTCATATTGATATTTTATTATGACTTTGTGTAGACTGTATCCTCCAAGGATTTTATGCTTTCCCTTTTGCCTATGTAAGGCTTTCTACTCCTTTGTATGCTTGTATTGGATCTGTTGAAATGTAATTTTTTTTTAAAAAAAGTTTCTTTCTTCTATGTGTGTGAGAAAGAGAAGTTGAAATAGAAAGAGACAGACAGGCAGACCCCACCCCTACCCCCACCAGGGTCCTCATGCTCAGATCTACCCTCTCGCAATGATTCAGGATCACGAGCACTGTGCAGGCACCCAGAGTGCTCAAGGAGGTCTTGGGACATGAACCGAGACCTTTCCCATGTGTTACCACTGCACTGTCGCCTAGCTCATCTTGAATTATCTTAACTTTTAACTTTTGACAATACAGGCCGATTATCTTAGATCACCTAGACTGGACCATTGGCTTTTCCTGGCCTTTGTTTTTCCTCTCTTTTGTCATTTGAAGTTAGCTTCTCTTACTGAGGAAAATGGCAAGAAGAACACAAAAAATGGAACTCAAATGCATGGATTTGATACGTCTACTTCTGACTTAGAATTTTATGAAAAAGGTAGAAACCACTGACCAAAATAAGATATTTAGGTGAGAATTACTACTTTTTTTTTTTTTTTTTTTTTTGTGGAGAGGTTTTTGCTATAGGGCTTGTGCACTTGCCAGACAGACAGAGAGAGATGAGAGATAGAAAGTGAGAAATCACCCCCCAGGGGGGATGGCCAAACCGCAATCCCTTCTCCTCCACTCTCCTCTCGGGATCTTGGGCACGCACGCACACACGCCTGGCGTGAGTTTAAGCCACCAGGTCCGGGACTCGAACCACGGTCGACTATGTGGGAGTCCAGCGACATAGCCATTACGCTAACTGCTGGTCCCGAGAATTACTCTTTAAGCAGTTAAGACTTGTTAGATTGAAGAGGCAAATTCAACAGAAAACTGAATTCTTTTCTTCTGTTCATGAACATATATGTCTTTAGAGGACACTGGTGACTCTCAATGTTAGGTCAATGACTTGTTTCATTTACCCTATAAGCTGTCTCATAAGTCTTCCAGATCCAGTATCAAGTTTTAGTTAATGACTCATTCTGAATCAATATCAGTTGTAAATGATTTTGAATTGGTCTTCTGGTAACATGAAATTTTTTTGAAACTTTTTTTTAAAGAATGTCTTTATTATTATCATTCTTTTTCAATTTTGAGCAGAGAGAGACAGAGAGGGAGAGAAAGAGAGAGCCACCAGGTCCAGGACTCGAACTGTGGTCAGCCATGTGGGAGTCCAGCGCCTTTAACTACCACGCCACCTGCCGGCCCCGAAATATTTTTTTAAATAAGCTAGGCCACATGAATATCATCTTATTATAATTAGCAGAAGTTTCTTTTTTTTTTTTTCATATATCAAACCAATGGCCTTAAAAATAGAGACTTTCTATTTCTTAATTGTGTAGAACTGTGTATTTCATGGTCCTGAGTACTTACAGATCATTGCTCTATTAGCTGCTGGGAGACTTTTTTTGGATTCTCCATTTCTTTTTTTCTAGATTTTTTTTGTTTTAACTTTAAATGTTTTCTTTCTTCAAACATGGTCTTTACAAATGTGTTTGAATGTGACTATAATAATACTTTTGAGACTTAGAAAATCAAAAGTAGTGGGAAAAAATGTTTGCATCTCATTTTTCAGACAAAATGTATTCCATATAAGCAATATAGTTAAACACTGATTTGGGGATAAGAGAGGGATGTATTTTCTTTCTTCTTTTTGGATTTCATTTCTGTGTCATGAACATATTTGTGTTTAGAAGGAAAGCTGTCTTACATTTTTCACACTGGTAACTTCTTCATACTCAATTAAGAAATTTTCATTCTTTCAAAACACTCATTAATACATCAGTGTTAGAATATAGGAGATGGCACTTCCTTTCCTAAGTCCTATTGGAATGTTACAAACATTTCTGGGAACATACTTTGAAACTAAAAGCTAATTGAGGAAGAGCAAGCATGGTGAAGGATTTCAGATTTAAAACATTTGAAGAATACTTGAAGGATCTGGAAGGCGATTTGGCTTGGAAAGAGAGGGGAATAGAGTGAGTGCATCAGAGCAAGATGCTCTGTGGTTCAAAGGACTTACTGAAACGTGGCCCACTGAATAGAGGCTGTAGGGCCACACATTTGAGCTCTATGTCAAGAAGAACTTCATCAAACATTGGTTCACCATGGAAGAGGCTGCCTCAGATAACAGTCTCTGTCAAACAGAAGCAAAGTCAGAACATGGTGACGCTGATACAGAAAGGAAAGGATCCAGACATTGGTTAGGGGTGGGACCAGATGACTTACTAAGTAAAATCTATGTTCTGGTACTTTGTCCCTCATAGTATGGTCAATTAAATATCTGTTGACCTACAGCTAATGATTTTTTTTTGTTAAGCATTTTGCCCTTCTGCTACAAGTACATCCCACCCTCTGAGGAGGAGGTTGGCTATGTGTCATTAAACCAAGAGATAAGCCTATCATTAATTATACTCTAGGCTGGGATTGCCTTGTCAGTCCATTCATTGCCATCTTATTGGTATCAGTGGTTGGTTTTTGAATTAAAAATCAAAAAGGTATTGTTTTGGTAGGAGTTATATGAAATCATAGAAATTATTCATTTCATTCACCTCTTGGCAAACATAGGCTTTACTCAGTTTAATAAATAATGGGTGTTCCTTCAGGTTTTCAGAATAAGTCCTTTTGGCAGATCAGAGTCTTCGGTTAAAGATCCCACAAATAGATCAACATGAAAATTTGCTGTTCTCATGAGAGATGGGCTGATGGGTCGCTGGCATGAAATGGTCTGTGAGATCTATTTTGGAGAAGTCTCAAATGACATTTGGTTAGGTGGTTTGATTCTCTTGAGAAAACATATGAAAATGATTTTACAATGACTGATTCTGAATTTCTTCTTATAGAAAAAAGTCTTTGATTTGAAAATGAGGATAATTAAGCTAACTTTATTTTGCTAATAAAGTTTACGACTCAAATGATTCAACTTGTAAAATAACTTACACCCTTGCTAGGCTGATGTATAGCTCTTCATTGGTCTTTTTAAAAGGTCACTGGTCTTGATTCAGTATGATGAGAAACCTACTTGATTTTTGGTGAATTTTCCTTGACACCTTTGGATAAGAAATCACGGCATAGCAGCTAGCCACAACTTCTTTGATTTCCTGAGATTTATGTGTCAAAATTTTACTTTACTAATGATTTAATACAATTTTTGGAGATGCTGTGTTTCAGTTCTTGATGGAATCCTTAGTGGGTGATGACATTTAGGAGGGTATTTAGGCAGATATATGAAGGGAGAACACTAGTTAAAAGTGAGAGGAGACCTACTAGCCACAAATTAACTGTGTCTTTAGGCAAACCACGATACGTTGAGCTTCAGTTTTTTTTTTTTCTTTCCTTATTTAAAATCTGTGATATAGACCTGTTAGGATTATTGTGAAATTAGATGAGATAAATTGAAAATACAGTGCTTGGTTACATTCATATA